AAGCCCAGTTTCTCACACTTACCAACCCAACCCCCTGCAACCCCTCATTCCAGGCCTAGATCCTTCTCTTCTGTCCTCATTAGCTCTCTTACCCCAAGCTGCACCTTACCATCACCCCATTCAGCTCTAATGGGCCATCTTTTGCATCCCAAGTCCTACTCCCTAGGTCCCTTGCTCCCTCTGTAACTATCTCTTCCCCACAGCCCCCTCCCTCACTCAAAAGACCCTCCTGCCCCAGGGCCTTTGCACTTGCTGTGCCTGCTACCCCAAAACACCATTTCCCCAGATGTGTCACCTCTTTCAGGTCTCAGCTCACACCTTCAGAAAGGACCTCCCTGACCTCCCTGGCTAAAAGAGCAACCGGCAACCCCGGTCCCTCCTATCCTCTGGCCCTACTTTATTTTTTTATAGCAGTTATCTCTCCTTGACAAGATATGCCGTATCAATTTTTTGATTAGTGTTCCTCTCCCTCCAATAGGATTACACCCCACAAGGAAAGGGATGTTGTCTGTACCCCAGCACAGCCCGACTGATAGTTGGCACTCAATAAATATTTGTCTAATGATTGAAAGACTTGGAAACCACCCCCCTCCCCCTCCTTGGCTGACGGAGACGAGAGGGAGACGGCGGGGTGGGGGGTAGATGAGAATCCAGACACAGGGAAAGAGCCTATGCTAAGGCATGAGTCTCGCTCCTCCGATCCACCCGTCCCCACCTGCATGGTACCCCAGGTCCTCTTCCCGGGGTGAGGGATCTGGGGTCCTTCGGGGGATCTGGGGGTCCCTTCTCCCCAAGGACAGCCTCCCCAGGACCAAGCCCAGACCTTGCCTGCCAGACGGGTGCAGGAAGCCACACCTAGAGGTCAGGTTCATGAGTAAATATTGCAGCACCCAGGCCTCCTCTCAGCAGATAAGTGGGTATGGGGGGGTCAGAAACCTGCTTTGGCCTCGCTGAGGGATTAGCTCCAGCCAACCCCTCAGCTCCAAGGTCTCTGCCCTGGAGGATGGGACAGGGGTCCCGCCACAGGAGCCCAGGCCTGTTTCCATCTAACAAATACTGATTTAAGTCCCGCAGTGGATGGGGTCAGAAGCACCCGGCACTAGGCCTTCTTCCCAGGGAGCTATTGACGTGGCTGGTCAGATAAGAAGGTGGGGGCCGGAAGAGCTGACAAAACAAGATCAGGGAACCTTGTCCCCAGTCTGCTGTGCGGCACAGAGAAGATAAGACTTGCCCACTCCAAACTCTGGAGGCAATGGCCCTGAGCCTCAGTTTCCCAGGCTACAAAACGGATCCTCGGGGAAGAAGGGAGACGGGGTGCCCAATGAGGTAACAGGTAAACCCAACAATTTCAAAATGAATGATAGCGTTGGTGTAAACTAGGTCCACATGATCCGTCCATTTCCCCGTCCTCAGTCCAGCCACCACTACCCCCTGCCTGTTCCAGTGCCTTCCAACAGAAGAGATGCAAGTCCCATACACAGGAGACATCCTGCTATCACATGAAGCAAAGCAAAAACAACAAAAAACAAAAACCAGGTGAATGGTTTTTGAATTGATGAATTGATTTAGCCCATGTTATCATCTCCACCTGAAATCAATATAAAAAATGATTTTTATGAAAAATGAGTGATCTGGGGCACCTGGGTGGCTCGGTCGTTAAGCATCTGCCTTCGGCTCAGGTCTTGATCCTGGGGTCCTCGGATCGATCCCCAAATCAGGCTTCCCACTCAGCAGGAAGCCTGCTTCTCCCTCTCCCACTCCCCCTGCTTGTGTTCCCTCTCTTACTGTCTCTCTCTGTCAAATAAACAAATAAAATATTTAAAAAGAAAATTAGTGGTCTGTTTCATTTTACTTTTTTGTTTTGTTTTTGCCAGCAATAGGTCCTCAGTATTTGGCGTCGTCATTTTACTCCGCACTCATCTCCGGTGGCTACCGTACTGGACACAGCTAGACTATTGCAAACACCCCCACAGGGCCTCCCAGCTTGGACCCTCACTCCCCACCCCCGTCTGTTCCCCACAAGGCAGCCAGAAGTTTCTATTAACACCTAAGTCAGCCCCTGTCCTCTGCTCAAAGTGGCTGTCATGGGTCTGGTCTCAGAGTAAAAGCCAAAGTCCTCCCATGGTCCATGAGACCCTGCAGGATCTGCCCCCACCCCCACCCCCAGACCCTTTGTTCTTCCTCACACTCACCAAAACGCTCCTGCCTCAGGACCTTTGCACTTGCTATGTCCTCTTCCTGGAATGTTCTTCCCCCAGATTCAGCATGGCTTCCTTAGTTAAGTGCTGCCTCCTACAACATCTTCTCACTGCCGGACATAAACCAGTGCCCAGGCCACCTCTAATGCCTCCCCCGCTTTCTTTGTCCCCATGGCATTATCCCCACCTGAAAGTTAGTTGTGTTTGTGTTTATTTGCCTATTGACTGCCTCCCCCAACAAAAGGTCAGTTCTATGAGGCAGGGATTTCTGTCCTATTCACGACTGTGATCTAAGCACCTGGACCTAAGCACCTGGACTAGGTGCTCAAGAAACTCCAGCTCTCAAATGAACCAAGGATCTAGGCTCATGTCCAGAAGCACCAGAGTAGAGGCAGTGGGGGTGGGGGCTGGCAGCAGACCTGGAAGGGCAAGGACAGTAGAGAGCGGTCAGCATGGCCCCATGAGGGGTAGGGAGCCACGCAGAGTCTGGACAAAAGACTGGATATGTCTCAGGCCTCCCAGAGGTGCGGCCTCATCACGCACCTCAACCAGATAGCAAATCACCAGAAACCCGGGCCTCCCTGGAGACTCCTGTTTCTGTCATCCACAGCCGGTGTCTGCTTCCACAAACACCCTCTGAGCCCCTGCTCTGTGCCCGACCCTCGGCTGGGCAGCAATGAGGACACAGTAGTGACCTCAACAGCCCAGGTTCTGCCCTCCCAGGACTCCTAGTCTAGATGGGGGGCCTGCTCCCTGACTGTGAGGACCCATGGTGGTCAGGGCTGGGCCCGAGGATCCCAGGGTGTCCTTAACCCAGCCTGAGAGTCCAGGGGGACTTCCTGGAGGAGGAGGAGTCGGGCAGGTAATGGGATAGAGCAGAGGGAAGCAGGGATCTAGAGTTCACGGCAGGAGGGGGTGTCAATGAGGCTGGTCAAGCCAGCGGGTCTCGGCCATGCAGGGCCTCATGGGCTGCACCAAGGACTGGGCTTTCTCCTAAGGGCACTGGGGAGTCCTAGCAGGTTCTGAGCATCATGGAAGGAGGAGGGTAAGACCTGGGCCACGGAGCTGGGAGAACTTGCAGAGGGAAGCCAGATGGGATGCGGGGGGGATGCCTGGACCAGGGAAGGGGTACAAGGAAGGAGAGAAAGGCACATACGGAAGAGAGTTTAAGAGCAGGTGCCACAGGGTGTGGTGTGCTGGGGGCGGGGGCAGGGGGCAGAAGCATCAGGGACACAGTCCTGGGTCTGTGTGTCCCAATGACAGGTGGATGGTGGCGCCATCCCTGATAAGAAGAGGAGGAGGAGCAGGTCCGGGGGAAGATGCCAAGGTCAGTTTGGGACAAGGTGAGCGAGCAGTGCCCAGGGGCATCAAGGGGGAGGCGTCCTGAATGACTCCGGGACGCGTCCCAGGGCTCCAGGGAGAGGCCTGGGTCAGGACAGAAAAGGATGAGGTGAGGTTACAGGCGGGCTGAGAAGAACTGGAGGTCCCAGGGCACCCACACCTCCTGCCAAGCCCCCCTCCGCCAACCGAAGAGAGCCCCGCAAGGGTAGCCCAGGACACTGGGCAAATTAGGAGCAAAGCAGGACGGGTGAGCCACAGGTAGGCTCCTGCCAGGCACAGGCCCCCGCTGGGGCCTGACAAGGACCAGGACCCAGAAGCCCTCAAGGCTTCAACAGGAACTCATCTGTCAAAAACACTTCCCCTAGCTCCCCCCATGGCTCTGCCAACCTCACCTTTCCAGAGACGCTGTCCCTGATCCCCTCCCCCACCTCCAATTTAAAAATCACAAACCCCCTTCTTGGCTTTATTTTTCCCCAACAACACTCAGGTCCATCTGACATGGAATAGAGTTTGTATTTTTTTATTTTTTTAAAGATTTTATTTATTTATTTGACAGACAGAGACCACAAGTAGGCAAAGAGGCAGGCAGAGAGGAGGAAGCAGGCTCCCCGCTGAGCGGAGAGCCCGATGCGGGGCTCGATCCCAGGACCCTGGGATCATGACCTGAGCCGAAGGCAGAGGCCTAATGACTGAGCCCCCCAAGGTGCCCTACAGTTTCTATTTTATTTGTTTACCCCACTCATGTCAGCCCGCGAGGCCAGGAATTTTATCTACTTGCACCTAGAACACAGCCTGGCAGACAGGAGATGCCCATTCAATATTTGTTGAATAAAAGAGCCCTATGAGGTGGGTACGGTCATTGTTCCCATTTCACAGATGAGGACACTGAGGCCCAGCCGGCTCCACAACTTGCCCAGGGTCACGGAGGTAGGGGACCATGGACTAAGCCCAGGGCCACTGCCCCTTAACGGCAGTCACACCAACCAGACCCCGTGCGTGCGGCCCCAGCCTGCCAGGGGCTGTCCATCTCACTAACTACTGGCAACAAACGTAAGCAGGGTCTGCACCCAGACCGTTTTTTGGAGCAGCAAATAGAGACTCAGCAAGGGGCTGTTTCCAGCCCCACTTGGGGAAAGAGAAGGGCCAAGGTCAAAACCGGACTCTCTCTGGCCCCAAGCTCTCCACACGCACACTTGACAGGCAGGGAAAACAAGGCCGAAGAAGAGAAGAGAGAATGTGGGTTTCTCAGACCCAAAGAAAGTGTGTAGCCACCCCGCCTCCCTCCCTCTGTGCATCTTTGGAGACAGCAGGCTTCAAGTTCCCTCTCCCTGCAGGAACTTGGGCGAGTCAGAGCCCCTGCCCGGTGCCTCACTTTCCCTATCGCGAACAGGGTTTCTAACAGTGCCCACCTCACAGGACACCCCCTGAGAGAACAGCTGAAGGCCACCCACGTTCCCTGAGGCCGGGAAAGGACAGTCACTGCTGACTGGTTTTATCCCTCTGTGACCCCCGATTTCACCAGGGAGGCCGAGGCCTGGGCCCCGGGTAAGAATTGCCCTAAAATCTTCCCCCACACCTCCCCCCGCCTCCCTGGCGACCTGGTTCTTCTCCTGGTACCAAACCCAGGCCCTTGGCACAAATAAGGTTAGGCAGTGCTCCAGGAGGCCTGGCCAGGTCATGGCCCCTGGCCCGGGCCTGCCACACCCACTCTGGTACACACACAGGGCCCCAGATCCTCGGTGACTCGATCCCTCCAAATTCAGGTGATCTCCCCCGGCTCCAGATCACCGAACCCTCCCAGGTCCCACGCCAGACGGAGCCAGGTCCCCACCGGAAAGGGCCTCAGAGCACCGGGACGCCAACACCGTCGCCTTGCAGACCAGGTTGGGGGCGAAAGATGGCACTGACTAGCCACAGCTGGCTCTTCCTCAGTGGTGAGCAACAACGGCGTCCCCCACAACCTCAGCACCCCATCAGCCCCAGGGAAGGGTGGGGACCCCTGCAGCCGGGGAGAGGGCAGGTGGGAGCCAGAAGTCCAGCAGACTAGGTCGGGAGGGCATCTTTGGCTCCTCCGGGAGGCACTGGCGTGGGGCTGGTCATGGAGGCTTGCAGAGTGAACCTCACAGATTTATAAGATCAGGGCATGAACTAAGGCAGGGGAGCCACCGAGCCTCCTTGGAAGCGTGGCTGGGGTGCACTCTAGCTAGCAGTTTGGCCTCTCTCCCCGAGGACGTGGCTTCGGGCAGCCGGTCCCCTTCCCCTTCTCAGCCTGTTTCTTCATCTATGAAATGGGCTAAACTCACAGGGTCATTTGAAGGTCAGAATAAGCGGCATTGGCTAGCACTGGCCGTGCCCTTGGAGCTGTTCTAAATGTTCTCCCTATGGGAACAACCACCTTAGGGAGGAGGCCCGCTCACGACCCCCACTCCATCAACGAGAGACCTGAGGCTCAGAGAGGGGAGGCCACTGGCTGGGGTCACACAGCCAGTCATGGTAGGGCTGAGTGCTAGACCCAGAGCCCTCACCCCTAGCCATGCTTTATCAGCCTGGAAAGTACCAGAATCTAGGCCAGCCACGCCAGCATTTCTTCCCCAAGAACCTGCATGGCCACCCATTCCGGGCAACCAATCGCACACAGTTCAAACCCAAGCTGCCCTGACCAGCCAGTCGGGTTTGGGGCTTATCTCCCGGGGCTGAAAGGAAAAGGGCAGAGTCAATTCATAACACCCCCACTAGCTGCTGTGGTCAGACCTGGAGAGGCAGAGGAAAAGCACTGGACTAAGAGTCACGGCCCAGAGGCTAGACAGGCCTGCCTGATTGTGTAAGCCTTGGTTTGATGACTCTCGCCCCAGGAAAACCCTCTCGTGGGCTGAGCATGTGCTACATGCCAGATCCTTGGCACAGCCCATCCAACTCAATCCTCAGGCCTACTCCAGGACCAAGACCCTATGGCTGGCTAACACTTAGTGAGCACTTACTGTATACCAGGAACCCACTGGCCAGGAGCCCGCGTCTCCTCCTCCGTTGAAGGGGGGCCATGGTCAAGCTGGCCTCATCCCATCCCTCTGGCTCCTTTTCCTCAGCCGCTTTCCTGAGTGTGGGGGCCGAGATCTCTATCACCCCCGAGCCTGCCCAGCCAGCCAAGGGGGACAACGTCACACTGACTGTCCACGGGCTTCTGGGGGAGCTGCTTGCCTACAGCTGGTACGCGGGGCCCACTCTCAGCCTGAATTACCTGGTGGCCAGCTACATCGTGAGCACGGGCGACGAGACCCCTGGCCCAGCCCACACAGGGCGGGAGGCCGTGCGCCCCGATGGCAGCCTGGACATCCACGGCGTCCTGCCTGGGCACTCGGGCACCTACATCCTGCAGACTCTCAACAGGCAGCTACAGACGGAGGTGGGCTACGGACACTTGCAGGTCTATGGTGAGACATCCCTCCTGCCCCCCACCCCCAGACTCCCCTCTGCCCCAGCCAGCCTTCCCATCTCCTTCCCAGTCCCTCTTAAAAAAAAAAAAAAAAAAGTAAAAAACTTAAAACCATAAAAAAAAAAGACAAAATAACTTTAAAATGCTCACCTCGGGGCGCCTGGATGGCTCAGTGGGTTAAGCCTCTGCCTTTGGTTCAGTTCATGATCTCAGGGTCCTAGGATCAAGCCCCGCATCAGGCTCTCTGCTCAGCAGGGAGCCTGCTTCCTCCTTTCTCTCTGCCTACTTGTGATCTCTCTCTGTCAAATAAACAAATTAAGTCTTTTAAAATAAAATAAAATAAAATGCTCACCTCCTTCGGGATGGCTTCCAGGACTACACCTGCCTCCTATCCCATTTGTTGTCTCTCCAGCTGGGGGTCCTGGACACCACCAGGACCCAGCCATGCCCCTGGACAGGGGAGGGGGATGGCCGGGGGAGCAGGCAGTGCCCGGCCCCCTCCCCCTCTGTCTCTTGCCCCCACAGAAATCCTGGCCCAACCTGTGGTCATGGCCAACGACACGGCACTGGTGGAGCGCCGAGACACCCTGCGCCTGACGTGCAGCAGCCCCAGCCCTGCTGAGGTCCGCTGGTTCTTCAATGGCGAAGCCCTGCCCATTGCCATCCGCCTTGGCCAGTCCGCCGATGGCCGGGTGCTGACCCGGCACGGCGTCCGCAGGGAGGAGGCTGGAGCCTACCAGTGTGAGGTCTGGAACCCGGTCAGTGTCAGCCGCAGCGAGCCCATCAACCTGACCGTGTACTGTGAGTCCTCCTGGCCCCACTTAGAAATACCCAGTGCCCAAACCTCATAGATGGGTAAACTGAGGCCAGGAGAGGGCGCCCGAGGGCACACAGTGAGTCAGGAGGTGAACTGGGGTTAGGAGCCAGGGATCCCTCTTAAAATGCACTTGACCCATCTTCCTAAGGACTAAAAACCACCCGAGAAATGGAATAAGCCTTCAGCCTGAACCAACACCCGCAGGAAGGGACCCAGGGCTGGTGGGTTTTGAAAGGGAGGCGGGAAGTGAGTGGTGGGTGGGAGGGGAGATCAAACAAAAAAATGTAACCAAAGCATGGAGTCATTCCCAGGGGCAGCAGATCCGCAGTGTGGAATCCGGGGCAAGTAAATCTCGGAGGTACGCAGGGGCCACTGATGTAGAAAAACTTGGAGCCTAGAATCCTACGACCAGGGAATGCTGAATTTAAGAAGCCCTGAATTCTAGACTCTGAGAATCCTAGAAACTCTAGAAGCAGAGATTCTTAGAATCTTAGAGTCGAATTCTAAAATCTTAGAGCCACCCAATCCTAGAATTTTAGAAACCTAGATTTCTAGAATCTTAGAGCCCTAGAGCCTAGAAGCATTGACTAGAAGCATTGACTCTTGGAGCCCTAGAATTCTATCGACTCTTAGAATGCCTTATGAGAAACCGATAGTCTAGTCTTCTTCTTCCTCTTCTTCTTTTTTTTTTTTTTTAAGGGGGCCATAGATTTCGAAAATATCTTGAAATTTTGTCTGGCCCCACGTCCTCTTTTTACAGAAGAGAAAACAAATCCCCGGAAAGGGGAAAGTGATTCTCGAGATCCTAGAGCAAATTAGAGATCTGTGTGGGATCTGAAAAGACCAGAGCTCTCTCCCTCCGCTAGGCCCACACGTTCCCAGGGGTGCCCACCTCTATGTCCCTGTCCCTCCACTGCCCCGTCTCTCTCCCTCCTGCCCCCACAGATGGCCCAGAACGCGTGGCCATCCTCCAGGACTCTACCACCCGCACGGGCTGCACCATCAAACTTGACTTCAACACGTCCCTCACCCTGTGGTGTGTGTCCCAGTCCTGCCCAGAGCCCGAGTACATGTGGGCGTTCAACGGGCGGGCCCTCAAGAACGGGCGAGACCACCTCAACATCAGTAGCATGACCGCAGCCCAGGAGGGCACATACACGTGTATTGCTAAGAACCCCAAGACCCTGCTTTCTGGATCCGCCTCAGTGGTGGTCAAGCTCTCTGGTGAGTCGCCCCCGGCCTGACCGCCACCCCCTCCCCACGGAAGCCCAGGTGGACCGTGAAAGGTTTGGCCGCGGCTCCAACAGTTAAGGGTACCCTTTGCCCAGAAGATAATTGGAAAGTAAGAGAGTCTCAACACATTCTTTGGCCAAGTGACAAAGTGGCGTGGTGGGGGTACCCCTCTTTGTTCAGGTGACAGAAGGAGACACCCCCTACCTTATCACCTGAACAGGGAATCAGACTCTTCCGTGAGGGGTGGCGAAGTAAGAAAGGGGGCACATGTCTGTCTCACACACGGGGTAGAGTGGGGACACATTCAGCTGTCCCTTCACATGTGTGCCTCCCCGTCCCGGTTCTGAACTCAGCCTGCCACAGCCGCAGAGGACCCCGCCCCATTCTCTCCATGCAGACAGCTGAACAACTGTGCAGCCAACTAGACGATGCGGTTATCTGGCCCCTGTGACTGTGTGCGCGTGCATGCACGGACACACATACACACACACAACACACACACACGGAAAATCACAGCCAGTTGCTGGCAAGTGGAAAAACCCAGCCAGGGAGGCACTGTCTTGCCTCTGTCCTCAAACAACCTGGGGGCTGGGGTAGTGCAGACACAGCTGGTGTTTTGAGAGCTATCAGCATCCTCAGGGGACACTTTCTCATCCCCTGGGGATGGTGGCTTTGAGGCCTCATTAATTCTGCCTTGGTTCCTTCCCAAGTGGCCACCATCCCCCAAGGACAGTAGGAACAGTCCTTCCCTCCCTTCCTCCCCCTTCCCTCCTACTAACAGGCTGGGTCTCATCCAAAGGGTGGATACTCTTTCACCCAAAGCAGAAATGGCGTCCCCAGAGGTAAGTGTACCTCCTGCCCCACCCCCACCTGGGGACTTGGCAGCTGGTCTCGGCAAGAGACGGGGGGTATACCAGATGACCTCAGGTGCTGCCCCTAGCCCTGCTTGTGTGGGCCAAGATGGGGGGTGTCCAAGTGTGCAGGTATGTGCAGGGAGTGGGTACAGCACCCCCAAGGGCCTCCTGAACAGTCAGCATCCCTGTGACAGGTGCCAGGAAGAGACAGAGGAAAAGGAAACAACCCCCCACCCCCATGTGGGGGAGACTCTGATCTGATGGAGGAGACATGGTCTCTGCTCTTGGAGAGATGATCCTGGAATAGGGAAGCATGACTTCCTTATTCAGGGAGCTGCCAGTCAGAGGGAAGAGGCAATGCCTCACACTCCATGGGTTTTTAAGCAGTGATGGAGGAGACATGACACCCAACTGCAGTGAAGCTCCAGTCAGATGGAGGAGACAATCACACTTGGGGGCATTTCGTAGTCTGATGGGAGAGATGTGGTCCTGAGGAGACATGGTCCTCTCTTTTTTTTTTTTTTGAGAATTCCTAGTCTGATGGGGGAGACACAGTTCCCACCTCTGGGTTACTCCCAATCTGATGGGGGAGTATAAGCCCCCCCATTTTCTAGGAATTTCCTGTCTGATGGGATTGACATGCCCCCAGTCCAACTTCTGGAATCCCCAGGCTGTTTGGAGAGATCTATAATCTGGAATTTCAAATCTGATGGAAGAGACATGGCCTCCCACCCTTTGGAATCTTTCTATTTGATAAGAAACTATTGCCCCCACATTCTGAGGTCTCTTGGTTTGACAGAAGAGATACATCCTGGGGTACATAACTCCCAACTATCTGATAAGGAAAGCAGGGCCCCCTATTCTGAGAATTTCTAGTCTGATAGGGGAGATATGCCCCCCCATACTCTAGAATATCCAATCTGATAGGTGAGACGTGGGCCCTATATTTTGAGAATTTTCAATCTGATGGAGGAGACATGGCTTGACCCTCTAGGGTCTTATAGTTAAATGGGAGAAATATCCCCCAAGGTCTGGAAATTCCTAGTCTGATGGGGGAGAGACAGCCCCCACCCTCTGGGGTCTCCCAGTCTCGTGGGAGAAGACACACCTCCCTGGCAGGCACTGTCAGGACACAAAACCCCCCTCCACTACCACAAAAGTCAGCTCCTTCCTCTGTCTCCTTTCCGGCACCCCTCCAGGGGGAGCACCTGCCAGTTGTCGGGAGTCACGGGAGGCACGGATGAGCTGGCTGGGGGGGGGAGGGAGACACTCTGCCCCGTGCAGACCCAGCTGACCCAGCCTCCCCTGACTCTTTCCCCAGCCGCAGCAGTTGCCATGACAATCGTGCCTGTGCCGACCAAGCCGACCGAGGGCCAGGATGTGACCCTGACTGTCCAGGGCTACCCCAAGGACCTACTGGTCTATGCCTGGTACCGCGGGCCTGCCTCAGAGCCCAACCGGCTGCTCAGCCAACTGCCATCTGGGAACTGGATCGCAGGCCCCGCGCACACAGGCCGGGAAGTGGGCTTCGCCAACTGCTCGCTGCTGGTGCAGAAGCTGAACCTCACGGATGCCGGCCGCTACATGCTCAAGACCGTCACGTTGCAGGGCAAAACCGAGACGCTGGAAGTGGAGCTGCAGGTGGCCCGTGAGTGAGCCAGAGAGGGTGGAGGGTGAATCTTTTCAGACACAGGCTCCCAAAGGGGGGCTCTGCCTCCTCCATAGTCTGGCAAACAAAGATTGAGGGTGGTTATGCCTCCCCATCAGACTGAAAGAAGGGACTTTGTTTCCTCCATCTGACTCGAAGAACTAACTCTAAATAGAGTTCTTTCCTCTTCCGTCCAACTGATGACCTAGACTAGGGGTAGACAGGCATCCTCCATTAGACTGAAGGCTACTACGGGGGACTTCTGTGCCTTCTCTCTCACACAAGAGGTTCACCAGACTGAAGGTTTTCAAAGAGGAGACATAGTCTGAGAGTAGGGCATCCTTTTCCCAGCATATGCATAGACTCCAAAACATAGGAGATATTGCCTCTACTACTATATTGGGAAGATGGGTTAATGACGGGAGTTTACCTCCCCCATCAGAATAGATGTATAGCATGAGGGTGGATCCTACCTCCCTCTTCAGCCTGGGAGATCCTAGATAATTAGGATTGTGTCTCATCCTTTGCATTACAGTAAGAGTGAGGACAGAATTTCTACCATCAGAGGGTAGAATTTTTCTCATAATGGAGGAAGTGGAATCCTCCATTAGGATAGAAGCTTCTAGATGGTAGGAACTGTGTCTCTTCCCTCAGACTAGGAGTTTACAGTGGTCAGGAACAATGTCTCTTCCATCAGCCTGACAATTCCCAGATATTGAAGACCATGTCTTGCCCATCAGAGTAGGGACTCCCAGGGGCCATGTCTCCTCCATCAGTCTGGGAGCTCCCAGAGGCAGGAAACATGTCTCTTCCATCAGACTGGGAGCTCCCAGAATCAGGGACCAGGCCTCCTCTATCAGACTGGAACCTCCCAGAGTTAAAGACCATGTCTCCTCCATCAGACTGGGAGCTCCCAGAGTCAAGGACCATGTCTCCTCCATCAGACTGGGAGCTCCCAGAGTCAGGGACCATGTCTCCTCCATCAGACTGGGAGCTCCCAGAGTCAGGGACCAGGTCTCTGCCATCAGACTGGGGGCTCCCAGAGTCAGGGGCCTGGTCTCTTCCATCAGACTGGGAGTTCCCAGAGTTAGGGACCATATCCCCCACATCAGACTGGGAGCTTCCAGAGTCAGGGACCAGGTCAACCCCCATCAGACTAAGTATCCCTGGAGGTCCAAGAGCCATGTCCCTGAGGCAGGTTTCATCCCATTAGACTAGAAGCTCTCAGACACTGGGAACTAGGTCATTCTCCAGTCTGGAGTCTCACCTCCCCCATCAGACCAGGTACTTTTGGAAGCCCTGAGTCAGGCATGGTGTCACCCAGCTCAGACGTGAAGCTTCCAGGATCAGGAAATCAATCACTACCAGGTACCCCCTAGATACCCTCCTTCATCAAACCCTGGTCCCAGGTCAGTGCTGGAGGTAGAATGCTCTTCGATGGCAGCCATCCACCCCCCACCTCCACGAAGGTTTGGGATTCCTTTTCACCCTGTCTCTCTTCTCACAGTCAACCTCCCTCCCCTGCATGAGGACCAACGCCACCTTCCTGAACCTGAACCTGGCACAGGCTGAGCGTGTTGAGGGGGCGCGTGGGAGGCTGGGGGTGGACAGGGGAGCAGGAGGGGTGAGGGTCCTGGGACCTGGTCCTCTACCTCCCTGACAGCCTCTTCCACCCTTTTCCCCCATCCCCCCCTCAGCCCTGGAGTAGCAGCACAGCTGTGGCAGTGGGAACCTCGGAGAGAAGAGCTCTTCATGCCACCCATCCCCCCCATCTCCTCCCACTGGGTGGAGGACCACTTGCTCCCAGTGAAGATGCCAGACTGACCGTGGTCGGCGGTTCAAGACTTGCTCCCAGTGAGGATGCCAGACTGACCATGGTCGGCTGTTCTCCTGCTTCCACACTAGAGTTAGAACTGACAGGGCCCTACTCCCTCGCTGAGTTGTCGGAGAGCCACAGAGACCATAAATGTCCTGGTTAACACACGCACGTGTCAGCCTCTCCTTAATGACCGTCAGCCCTGCCATTTCCCAGTGCCCACACTCGCCTCCTTCCCTACCCGGGGTGACTCTCAGTTTAGGTGCATGCGTGCACAGGGATGCCTAAATGACAGTGAGGCGAGACCCTACTGCTCAGTGTCAGGGCCTCAGGCTCCTCCCACACCTCCCCAGGTTATATCTGATGGTCCTGCTTCCCAAGGGGCCAAAGACTGCCCCTCCCTGGGACACCAACAGAGCTGGGTTCTGTAGGACATAGCCCTCCCCTATACTGCACCTCACTCCACCTGGGCCCTGAAGCAAGATCGCTCATGCCACAACAGGAAGTGACCAAATTTCCCATGAAGTGTCCCTTCTATCTAACCAAAGATGCTCCTTTGTGTCCTCCATTGTCCTCAGATTACCCCCCCCAGCTCATTTCCCTCTCAAACATTACCTGCACAACCCTAAAAATATCTCCCTCTTCTTAAAAATGCAAATGGGGTATTGTGGGGGTGAGGAAAGGAGATCAGGGGAATGGGAGCCAGAGAAATGGTGTCTTCTAACTCCTGTCACTACTAGGACCTGACCCACAGGCCCTACTCAGCCAAGATGTCCCACTAGAGACAGACACTTTGTGTTGGTCAGAAGTAGTGATCACAGACTCCACTGGGGGTAGAAAGAGATGTTTGGACAGGGATAGAAGGGCCTAATAGAGAGATTTCCCAGAAACTTTCAAGACTGAGTCTTTCTAAGGATGACCATGTTGAGATAAGACAGTGGGTGGTGAAAGTGCCCCAGAATGAGGGCTATGACATATGGATTATGATCCACCATTTGCCATGGATTCAATAGACCCTCAGTTTGAATATCAGCTAAAAGTTGTGGGCTTAGGGTAGACTAGAATTTTTCAAACCATTTTATTAGCCTCAGAGCCCTTGAAATGCCAGCTTACATGGTAGGTCAATATATTATTTGAAATAGTAATGCAATAAAAGTAGCTATCAAATCAGCAGCTACAGCCCTCAAAGTTTATACACAGTTGAAAAAATTCCCCAAATGTAAATTAAATAAACCTTGGATTACAGAGGCAATTACAATGCAAAATAGCAACCAGAATCAAATACCAGTGAAAACAGTAGATACAGAAACCTGTGGGAAGGGTGCCTGGGTGGCTCAGTTGGTTGGGTGACTGCCTTTGGTTCAGGTCATGGTCCTGGAATCCTGGGATCAAATCCTGCATTGGCCTCCCAGCCCCAAAGGGAGTCTGCTTCACCCTCTGACCTCCCTTCTCATGCTCTCTCTGTCTGTCTCCCTCTCTCTCTCAAAATGAATAAATAAAATCTTAAAAAAAGAAAAGAAAAGAAACCTGTGGGATATGGCCAAAGCCACACTTGGAGGGGGAATGATAGCCTAAAAGGTTTATATGTAATGAAAATACTAAAAAGAAAAGAGCTTGTAGATGAGCAAAATAAGCTTTACTAGAAAACGTTCAGAAAATATACCAAAGAAAAAAGGTAAGGAACGTAAAAAGGTAAAAGCAGATACGGATGAAATAGAAAACAAAACATAGAGTTAGTCAATAAAACCTAAACCTGCTTCTTTGAAACTGATGATGGACTAGACACACTTTTTGCAAGAGAGACAGAGAAGACCAATATTTAAAAATATCGAATATCTAAGATAAAACGGGGTACCTGGCTGGCTCAGTGGTGAAAGCATGGGGCTCTTGATCTTGGGTTTGTAAGTTCAAGCTCCACGTTGGGTATAGAGATTATTTAAAAATAAAAATCTTAAAAAAAAAAAAAGAAAAAGAAAAACTGGTCTGGTTGTTGTAGAAGGTTGGTTCCTGGTTAGATACACAATCAACATATACCTTGAGGGAAGAGAGTCTGGGATACCTGTGAATAGCTAGCTCCCCAGCAGCTACTCAACCTCCCTCTTTCGGGATAGCCAGGCACGGCCTCAGGTAAAAGCCCCGGAAATTAGCAGGTACTCATTTTCCCAGAAGGCTTTGCAGATCCAAGTGGCCATGTGACCAAACTCTGGCCAAGGAAAGAAGGAGAAAGCCGAGAGTCCCGCCCACTGCTTCTGCCCACCTGAGGGAGGCACTAGGAGAGCTCCACGGAGTTTGAAAGCTATTATCAGAATCAGTGGTCCCTAATATAAGAGTTCCAGGAAGCGCAGATGGATTTGAACCCCGATTCTTAACCCCAACATCATCCAGGTCCCCAGATGGGAAATGGCGCCCACATTCTACCCCCTCCGCCAAGTTCACATAAGAGTCAGCGACATACATGGGACCAGAGCCTAGATATATAGTTAGAATGTCTCTTCAGTGGCAAGTCAAAGACTGGACACAACTCAAGACAGAGAGAGGAGGACTAAAATATGAGATAAAGAAGAAACTGAGATGGGTAAGAGGAGCTTACGTGGATAGAAGACTGTTTCTCTCTCACATGAAAAGTGCCCAGAAGCAGATTGTTCAGAACTGGAATCAGGGCTCCGTGGTGTCATTAGAGACACGGCTCCTCCTGTGTTTCTGCCCCACCATTCCCAGCTTGGGGGTCTTCATTCTCTTGGCCTCCTCGTGGTCCAAGATGGCTGCTGGAGCTGCTGGGTCAGTGCTCCAAGAAGGAAGTGGAAAGAAAGGGACAAAAGGCCTACAAAAACCCACACACATTATAGACTATGCCCCTTTTAAGGAAGCTTCCCCAAAGTCCCATCCTACAACTTCTACTTACATCTGATTGGCCAGTGCTTAGTCACATGGTCATCCAAGCTGCAAGGGAAGCTGGGACATGTAGTCTTTCGCCTGGGTCAAACAACCTCAGGGTCCTGATATCAAGGAAGAGAGGAAGACTGGATCCCAAGTGGGCAGCTGGCGGCCTCCGCCATGCCAGACCTTGGAGCAACCACTTCCCCAGCTGGACAAAATGGCCTTTCTCATCTAAGCCCAAAGGGAGATCACCACAGCCACAGGAGCCAGGGTTGAGAAAAGACAGTGGTTGTGTTCAGTTGGGGTTTGCTTTGTGCAGTGCAGAACGAGGGCAGCGGGAGGGATGAGGCGGAGGGAGCCAAGGAGGAGGCAGCTCAGGTTTCTAGGTCAGTTGGATCCTATATCCTCAGGGTGTGGAGGCTCAGTGTCCCCAGGACCAAAGCTCTGGTCCCTCTAGATACCTCTGCGCTCCTGAACTGAATCCCAGGTGGTCCCAACCCCTTCTGTTCACAGTCAGGAAAGAACAACAGTAACCACAAAATGAGACTAGCGCGGATTGTCCTTCTGCAAACACGTTCTCAGTGAAGGTCTGCAACAACCCCTTCGAGTCGTCACTGCAAGTTCCTCCACTTTATACGAGGAGGAAACTGAGGCACGGCTTAAAAACCTTGCTCTGGGTCCCACAGATCCCCACGGCTGCCGGCTGGAGGAGCTGGCTGGTAAGTCCCCTTCATTCCTCGGCAGGGCAGGTCGGTCAAGGGCACAGGCTCCAGAGCCCAGATGGGGCTGAGTTGGCCACTTTTCGCTGTGGGGCTTGGGTCATGATCATCAGGGCTCCCTGCTCAGCAGGAGGCCTGCTTCTCCTTCTCCCATTCCCCCTGCTTGTGTTCCCTCTCTCACTGTGTCTCTGTCAAATAAATAAAATATTTTTTAAAAAATTGTAATCACTGAAAATGGCTTCCAAAAAAAATAATAATGAATACACGTGAGCTTTTAGAATCATGACGCTAATCATCAGTGGTTCAAGGATAACATGCTCTTAGCACAGACTTTCCCACCTGCTCCTTTGAAATGGGGACACATTACAATGGGGATATTTATTAAAATACACATCCCAGGTCCCTGCCCGGCTCCAGGAAATCTGTGTCTCCAGAGAAGAGATGTGAAAACTGAATTTTTCAAATAAAGAGCCTGGGTGGTTTTTGTTAACTGGGAAGTTAAAGCACCTAGATGTGTGGCATGTTGGTGGGGGGGCGGGAGGGGGGGCACAAAGAGGAGGAGGCAATGTGCCCAAGGCTACTCAGCCAGGAAGGGGCAGGGCCACAAACTGGCCCAGAGGTGGCAGGAACAAGAGCCCAGGATCACACAGAAGAGGGGGGGACAGGAACCAGGATCACACAGAAGGTTTCAGACTGAAGGCTGAGACTGGGGTTCTCCTCTGCCCCACCTCCCCCAACAAAGCCAAAAAGCCGGGATGGTGCCGGTTGGGGCTTGGGTCCCTGGATTCCACTAGCTGTGGGTGACGGACAGACTCTGCCCTGTCTCTGCCCCCATGCCTCCCCCCTCACCTAAGAAGCCTTTTCTCAAGTAACCTTCTGCAGTGGGGAGGGGAGGGCGGGGCAGGGGCAGGAATGACCCTGAGGCCAGAGCACACAATGGCCCAGTGGCTGGCTGGAGCCCCGCCAGGGAGAGGAAGGAAATCTGCCCCATTTTTCTCCCCTGGGCTGGAATGTTGATTCAGGATGGAGAGAGGGGAGGGTGAGCAGAGAGAAGAGGAGGGAGGAGGAAGGAGAAAGAGAAGCAATAGGGAAGGGAGGAGAGATGAAGAAAGAGAGGGATGAAAAGGAAGAGGAGAAGGGGCGGGGCAGAGGGGTCCTGGCACCAGGGTGCCGAGGCCAGACTTTGGGAACCAATCAGGGAGGCTGCTCAGCTCCAGCCCAGCCTGACACACAACGCAGAGCCCAGAGAGGACATCCCAGCACCCTAAGGTTGCACAGGACCAGGGCACCCAAAAGGGTTCACCTTTGCTGCTAACCACAGGCAGGAGCTCCCTGAGTTCCCACAGTGACCTTCAGAAGCAGGTGTCAACCCTTCCATTCCTCAGAGGAGGAAACAGAG